AATGGCCTTAGTGTTCCAGGATCCGTTGCAGGAGTTGGATTTATTACTGTGTAGATTTATTCTGTGGGAAGTACTAAACTGAGTAAAAGGAAAAAAAAAGACAAGTGTCTGTGGGCAGATTCTTTTCTGAGCATCAATAAACTCACCTTGACTTTTCCTGATAACATACATTTTCTACTGAGTGAGAATTATGAGTGCCATAAAGTCTGGCCTTGGGTTTGGGACCATATAAACCTTCTGAAGTCCTCACTAGGCTGAGGAACAAGTCTGTCCTATGGTGGGGTAGAGAGGCTATGGCCGGTGTAAGGAAGGAACAGAAAGCAGGGGATTCTTAGAGCCAGAACTGAAGGATACAGTTAAATAAGACATCACCACTGTGTAATGAGGTTGAGATGCCCTCTCATTAATACAAATTGAGGAAAGCATTCTCTCGCCATTGTATTGTGACCATCTGGGTATGTTTAGAGCAGGAGTAGCTCAAACTGGCAAACGTCAAAGAAAAGAAATGCAACAAAATCCACATTTGTATTTAACTTTCACTGTCAAGTGTCATGGGACTCAAAGCCACGCTGCTCCTGCATTGCAAGCCCCTTGCTGTTAGAAGCATGAAGCCAACAGAAATAGATCTCTTATGTCTATCCTTTGTGAAAACACATTAGACATTTTTTAGGAACACTCAATGTGAAAGGGCTGGGATTCTGGAAATACAGAGATTTCCTCCAATATAAATGCACCCTGCAAGATTACTGATCATAGGGGTAAGCAGAGGCTATATGTAATTGGAAATGTCTTAATGAAGCCTTGAGTCCAATGGTCATATGCACATGGCTTCAAACAGCAGCAGCAGAAAACACAAATGTCTCTCTTTAAACATCCAAACTTGCATTTCTCTTACTATTTTGAAAGAAAGCATGAAGATTTGGTAGATTTTTTGTGTCATTTCTGAATACAACTATTTGAGAATTCTTGATCCATGCTATGGATTGAATGCATTCTCTCAAAATTCATATGTTGAAATTGAATTCCCAATATCACAGCATTAAATATCAAAGTTTTTAAAAGGTGATACAGCAAGAAAACACCTCAGAACCGAGAGGCAGACCTTTACCAGACACCAAAGCTGGAGTTCACTTTCCTTTAGACTCTCAGGTAACTGTGGAAAAGAGATTTCTGTTGTATATAAAGTATCTAGTTACATTATTTTGTTATAGTCCTCCTAAGACTAAGTTCACCTCCTAGTTTTTGTAAGATTTATTTATCCATCGCAGTAATTCAAATCTAGTGGTAGGGAATATGGTAGGTTCCTAAATCAAGCCTCTTTTCTCTTTAACAAAGTAGATAAGAATGGAGAATTTGTCATCAATGAGAACTGTGATCAAATATATATGTGTGTGTGTGTGTGTGTGTGTGTGTGTGTGTGTGTGTGTGTGTGTAAAAAGAGAGAAATGGAGCTGGGCGGTGGTGGCACACGCCTTTAATCACAGCACTTGGGAGGCAGAGCCAGGTAGATCTCTGTGAGTTCGAGGCCAGCCTCGTCTATAGAGCGAGATCCAGGAAAGGTGCAAAGCTACACAGAGAAATCCTGTCTCGAAAAGCCAAAAGAGAGAGAGAGAGAGAGAGAGAGAGAGAGAGAGAGAGAGAGAGAGAGAGAGAGAGAGAGAGAGAGAGAGAGAGAGAGAGAGAGAAATGGGATAAGAATTTGTATTGTAGGTAGAAAAATCTCAATTATCAAAACCAGAGCCTTAATTGGTAGAGTGACCTTTTAACAAGAGGCACAGTTCAGAAACAGGAGCGGGACTTTTAGAAGTTCCATTTGCTTGTTGAAGGTTACTGGAATTCTATAGACCACATCTTAAAGAGCTTCTTTGCCTTTCAAGCCAATGGTTCACTTTAGAATAATTAGAGTTGATTTGATCTGTGACTTGCTGGCTATTTTGAATTTGCCTTTCCACTGCAATTAGGCAGTGGCCTGGATGAAAACTACTAAAAAAAAATGAAGTTTCTTTTGCCGTTCTGCACTGTGAAGATCAAAACAGACAAACTATGATGCTGCGAAGCTGGAGAAAGCACCTTAGCAGTCTCCCAGACGAAGGCAAAAGCATGGCCGTTACTACAGCAGCAGAAATGTAGATATACCACTGAAGACTCAGAAAACCTGGGAGCTGAAGCATGACTCCTAATGCATACTCCACACACTGCAAAAATACACGAGAATCATAAACACGAAGACAACAGACTTCCCAGAGACTACAGCAGAGTGCTCTGATTGTCATGCTTACTGCGCCATTGTGAACTGGGATTTTCAGCTCTTGTTGTCTCAAAAAAAGTGAATGGATTTACTCTGGTTTCCTGTGTGCGTCTGAGAACAGAACCACTGAGACCATCATGATACAGGTTCAAACCCAGTGTTGTACAGCTGGTGTTGCACAGCTATATAAATGCAAAAATGTTCTCCCAGCCTCAGTTCCTCCATTTGTGACTCAAGAAAAACGACACCTGCTTCAAATGTAGGTGTCAGGACTAAGTGAGATAAGATGCGTGAAGTTCTGAGTGTGCTGTCTTGGTCATGGTAAGAGCTTTTGAAGTTGTCAGGTATATAAAAATCAAATGTAAAAATCAATACTCCTACTGTAGCCAAATAGAAGCTTTTCATTGGAATTTTCTCAGAATGGAAGTTGGAAGTTTTCTGTATTTTTTCTGTTTTTTTTTTTTTCATAAGCAGTCTTATTTCTTATTCTGCTCAGGATGTTGTTGAACTCCGAGCAGTCCTCCAGCCTCAGCATCCTGAACACTGATACTCTGAGCCTCTATATGCCTAGCATGGAAGCTTTTTATTTTTGTTTTCCTTCTGTTTTCATTTTTCATGAAAAACCATTATGTTTATATGAAATGAATTTTGAATATAGTAATTTAGACACAACTTGATGTATGTATACATATGCATTTTTTAAATAAGACACTTATGATCAGTCAGGCATGTGGGATCATGCCTGTAAACCCAGCACTTGGGAGGCTGAAATAGGAGGATCACTATGAGTTGAGGTCATCCTGGGATACATATTGCAAGTTCCGGGACAGCCCAAACTATAAAGTAAGTTCTTGCAAACAAACAAAGAAAGCATTCACAGTTACATTGGTTTCTCTGAGATATGCATGAACTCTGTCTCTAAGAAAAAAATTAATTTAAGAACAATTGATAATTAAGTAAGGAACTAAAGAGGAAACACTCCACAATGACATCAAATGAGATGGGTAGAATGAAACGTTGGGAGGGAAAGAGATGAAATACCCAGCAGTTCATGGAAAAGAATAAAACAAAATAGAACAGAATTAAACAGAACTAAACAAAAAAAAAAAGAAACAGAACTAAAGCACATTCCAAATAAAATTCACAAGGCAGGAAGCAACAGCAAACAGTATCAGTCTCCATCCCCACCCCCACCTGCCACTCTGCTCTTTTTTAAATAGTGACAACCCTCTAGTTTTCCACTGGCTTTACCCCAAAACTGAAGGATATCCCTTATATAAAGAGCCGACTGAAAAACTAACCAAGCACAAAGCTCATCTTTCCGAGGCGCTGGTACGTTACTACTCTGAGAAACAGGACTTTTATTACTCTGTATATTTCCTTCAGGGCCCTTAGCCCTCTAGCAGCTCGAGGTGTGTCCACAGGTAAGCAGCTCTCCCTAAGCCTTTGACTGTTATGCAGTTTCTGTTCTCCGGTCTGTACTGTTCCTCTTGTTGGCCTTGTACTTTGTCCCTGTCTGTAATGGTTTGGTTTAACTGTGTCATTTCTAAGTCACAAGTTTTCCTTTAAAAATAGATGTCATTATGAATAGCAGCAAGAAGGAAGAGATTTCTCAAGTATATCTCCTTTAAGTGAGATCTTACACATTTAATAAGCGTAGCAGTGAGAACGACTCTTATGGTTTTCTTAATACTGAGTTTTTACAAACCTCACAATTTTAATCTTATTCTTTTGCCCAGCTTAATTTCTTCCTCAGGTTCTTTAACTGCTACCAACACAGTATTCTCTGAATTCCAGTCTTCCTGGGTGGAATAGGGTTGGCTCCATTCCAGGCTACCTCTTCAGCAGCAGCCAATATTGATCATTTGTTCTCAGCACAGGATTCTGCATCCTGGCACCACTGGACCAAGGCAGCAGTTCCTGCCTTCCCTGAGGGCAGACTGTTCCTCCCTACTGGCGTTGGTTACTTCTGTCTATTCAGTTTCTCAAGTTCTGCATGTCAACTTTCAATCCCTTTATAAGCAGTGGTTCTCAACCTTCCTAAACAGTTCCTCATGGTGTGGTGACCCCCAACCATAAAAAGATTATTTTTGTTGCTACTTCATAACTGTAATTTTACTACTTTTATGAATCGTAATGGAAATCTGCATTTTTCAATGGTCTTAGGTGGGGGTCACAACCCACAGGTTGAGATCCACACCACTCTTTTATAGTGACTCTCCAGCAGCCAAGGGATGCAGCATTGGAATCATTGAAAATGTACATTTAAGTTCCCAAGGGCTTCATTTTAACACCATCATTATAACACAACCACACTAATATCTCTAAAGTTCCTTCTTGAGATGAATTTCTATGTGGGTGCTACATGGTTGCTACATGGTTGTATACATGGTTGCTTGGGAGTCTGTACTCATAACTATTTGCCTTTCTAGGATTTAGCTAAATAAACCCAAATACATGTTGTTAATAATTTCTATTATTACTCATTCTATCAACTCAATTTGCACAAAGAAGCAAATTCAAAACTCATTCTTCACTCTGCTTACTCACACACACGCGTATTTTTATACATACGGCTGCTAGCCACTAGCCATCAACCAACTGCTGTCTTGCACTCCATAAGTGGCATTGTAGAAGGCAGCCATTGCCTGGACAAGGTCCTCCCCAGCACTGATATATCAGGTGACAGAGTCAGAGGTTCAACCCCCACCCGCCCCGCCCGCCCCATTGGACTATAACAGGGTGACATTACCTCTTTGGATCCTTACTGTCAACCTCCAGATGCCCAGTCCCAGAACAATGCCCGTCAGCAGCCCACACACAATAGCCACCAGCACCCGGACGTTGCAGGAATGACAGGAACGCATGCTGAAAGCAGGCCACTGCACCACTCGGTGTGAAAGAGCTAGCTTCTCCTTTAGTCAAGAATTTTAATCAGAGACCGTTATAAAACATGGAAAGAATCCTTCTTTTCAGTGGTCTGTCGGGCAGGCGTTCTCATGTTTGAAGAGTTTTGAAGTTAATTCAGCATAATGTAGTTGGAATCCCCAAATAGAAGGTGTGTTTCTGCTTGCAGTGTGATCATTCTTCAGCGAGAGAGACCAAGTGACCAGGGCTCTCAGAAAAGGAAACCTACTCAAGGGCAATAAAGAAGGGGAGGGATCAGCCTAGAGGGTCAAAGGCTGAATCTCCAGACAAGAAAGACAGTGAAGGAAGGAGGCAAGCAAGGAGAAGCCAGAGAGGAAGTCAGGAAGGCAACGGGTCGCTCTGGTTGTCTATAGCTCAGCGAGGTGCTTCAGGATGTTTGCACATCCTCTTGGAGAAAAGAAGTATGTTGTCAAGTGAAAGGATCAACGGCAGGAGCCACGTATGACTCCTCTGCTTGCACTTCCTTAAGGAGCCTGCATTCTAGAAAGTCTAGCCTAGGAAAGAACCAAGTATGATGACATCTTCATTTAAAACTGTGGTTCTCAACCGGTGGATCATGACCCCTATAGGGGTCAAATGACCCTTTCACCAGGGTCACATATCAGATAACCTGCATATCAGATATTTACATTATGATTCATAATGGTGGCGAAATAACAGCTACAGAGTAGTGATGAAAATAATTTTATGGTGGGGGGTGGGTCACCACAACATGAGGAACAACACATTTCTGTTATTTAAGCCACACACTTTGTAGTACTTAGTTACAACAATCTTAGGAAAGAAATCTTCTCTGCACAAACTTCTACCTCTACTGCAGCCGTGACTCTTGGGAGGCAGCATTCCTCTCCCCTGGCCCTCTCTAGTCTCAAATGAAGTCATTAGTGGGTACTCATGTCACCGAGGCTCTGCTGCTGGTGGACGAATCAATGCCCCGTTGGTCCCTCCATTCATTTAGACCCGTGATGGTTAAGAGCCTTCAGCATGTCAGGACTGTCACAGGCAGGGACAAGTCCTCAAAGCACTCACATTCTCCCGGGGTGAGAATCCAGGGAGTCACCCCTGATAAGACAGATCGCAACTGTTAAAGATAGCAAATGTAATTATCACAGGATACTCTCCTGGGAGTATTAACCACAGACTTATAAAATACATTTTACATCTGAACTGATTATCTGTTTATCCCTCAAAGGTATGTATTATCTACCAATTCTCAGTAATACTTACTTTCTAAAGTACAACTTTGGGGGATATTAATAAAAATTCCTAATTTTACTTCATCCTAGAACTTCATGAAAGCACAATGTGTCACAAAATGAAAGAATTTAGAGACTGCTACAGAAGAGCAAAACAAATGAATCTATGTTCATTATCTGCTTGTTGTGAATATATTATAATACTTATTCCTATGTGTCTATATTATCTACCAAAAATGACTAGAGTAGGGTACATTAAAAAAAAAATCTTCACAGAAATCTAAGGGATCTGAGGTACAGGAAATTTAAAAATTCTTTATGCCCTTTCTGTGGTATGTACAGTACATATGTATTTTCAATTGGTATAACATATATATTACCTTTTCAATATTAAAAATCACAATGTTCCAAAAGTAATTATCACCTATTAAGCAGAAAATACATCAAGCAAAGCTCTATATACATTTCATGTCCTTGCCTCATCAGTTTCATAACACAATGCTTTTCCCAGTGCAGAAACAAAGACGAGGTTACAGACAGACCACTGCAAGGGGAACTCTGTGGTTATGAAAGACTGAGCAGTCGATACCAGGTCACGCAAAGCTAAAAGGTGTTCTGTGTGGAATGTTCTGCAGCCTCCGGCGTGTGCGTGTGCATTGCCAGGTTCCCAGTGTTTCTTAACCCAGAGCTCCCTTCTCAAGAAGACCCTCTTGAGGATGTCATTCCACAGAATATGCTATGGAGACCCTGCTTTATGGGGAGAGGGTGGTTATTGCTGACGAGGGTGACTAAGGAAACAAATTGTGAAGCCCATGGTTACCCTACCAGGATGATAGTTTTGGTTTTGGTTTTTTTTGTTTTGTTTTGTTTTTTTTGTTTTGTTTTGTTTTTTCTTCCTTGCAAGGTCACACACATTTTGAAGGGGAGGGTGCCCAATGGCTGGAAAACTGACTTGGCGATTCTTCCCTCAATCAGGAACCCTGGGATACTGCAATGACCATAGCTTCATATAACTTTGTCTCTTTGGCTACATCATTGAATTCATAAGGTTGTCCCTTAATCGCTAAGAACACTAGAAATTTACGGAATGGAAAAAATCCGAGGCATAGAAATTCACATGTTTGCATTTATATCAGGACATGAAGTATGGGCATTAGATACACCAAAATGTGGAAATGGTCACTCCTGTGGTTTGGATAAGATGTATCCCTTCCCAAAAGGACATTTATGGCAAAGCTGGTCCCCAGAAGGTGGCACTATTTTGGTAGGAGACAGAGACTGGCCAGACATAGTAGGTGACAGGAACACGTCCTTAGGATCTATGTCATGCCCTGCCCTCCCCCTCAGTCTCTCTTTTTCTTTCTCTCCTGTCTTTCATGAGGTAAAAACGACTCCTCTATTACAAATTCTTGCTGCTGTGATGCTCTCCTCAAGCACATGGGACACCCCCTCAAAAAAAAAAAAAAACCCAAAACCAACCAACCAAACAAATAACAACAAAAACCCCATGGACTCCCTCAGAAATGGAACCAAACCACATCTTTCCTCCTTTAATTTGTATTTGTCAAAGATTTCCCCACACAGGCTCAAAAGTCACCAACACAGCCACTATTTTATATGCACATAAGTCAAGAAGACAAAGAAGAATAAAAGAAAAATGGGAAATGATTTATTTATTTATTCTACTCAAAGCATGCTTTGTGATGAACATGTGGATAAAATAATAATCCAGAGGGACAGGTCCATGTTGTCGCATAGCTGCCACTCAGGGAGACTTGGGGTTGTGTTTATGCTGTCACCGATTTGTTTCATGGTCTCACACAAAGCACAGGAAATCCAGGCCTCCATGTCTTCATACTGTACATAGCCGCACTAGACCTCTCATTCCTGTGCATTTTAGTCATAAAGGCTTCATCTGAATAAGAGCAAGGAAAGTGTTTTATCATGTGTCAGAGGGACTATGACTCAAAGTGGGTGTCAGTGACCAAGTAGAGTAATGAGAACATCTATAAAAGGGAGATTTGCTTAAGCTGCCACACCCAAAGCAGGGTGAAGAGGCATTTATGTGCTGAGGATGAGTAAGCCAGTATGGAAGGTCAGTGTCAAGTAGGGGAGACAATCACTCATGTGTGACACTGAATGTGGGAAGTCAGAGGTAGAAAGGAAGAACAGGGCACCCTTTGGAGAACAAGCATCCCTTCACAGGTGACCCACTTAGCATGGGAAGTCTGTGGCTGAGTTAAGTGAGGAAGACATCTGCAGCATGGCAGACTTGGCTAGGGCACATGTAAGGAGGAAGGGCACCCACACATGGATGTAGGTGGCAGAAAAGAGCAAGATTAGAGTTGCATGTAGGATGATAGGTCAAACAGGTAAGCATATGAACAGTGAAGGCAACTACTACTTCTGAGCTTCCTGAGATGTGTAGGTTTTGTTAACTTCCTGAGATGTATAGGTTTTGTTAGCTTCCTGAGTTGTATAGGTTTTGTTAGCTTCCTGAGTTGTGTAGGTTTTCTTAACTTCCTGAGTTGTGTAGGTTTTCTTAACTTCCTGAGTTGTGTAGGTTTTGTTAACCTCCTGAATCTTGTATCTCTCCTGCCTTCAGAAGACAATGTTCAGATGAAATAGCTATAAAGCACAGTCTATCCTATTGTTTGTAGTTCTCTGGAGAACTAATACCAGGAATGTTTTGCAATAAGTATCAGGCATTTTGAAAGACAAGAGGCCCACAAACCGAGAATGCTTAAAAAGAGTATGCAAATCAAGAACACTCAAGAAATCTATGATCTAGATAGAGTGCAGCTGTGTTAGTTTGCTTTCTGTTGGTGTGATAAGACAATGACCATGACCAAGACATAACACTTGGACAAATGAGCTTTATTTTCACTTACGGTTTCAGAGGAATGAGAATCCATTGTGGTGGGGCAGAGGTATGGCAGCAAGTCACAGGCATAGAAGCAGTTGCAGGAAGCTGAGACTGAGAGCTCATATCTTCAAATGTAAGCACAAAGCAGAGATGGTGAACAGGAAGTGGGTAAGACTATAAACACCCACAATCTGTCCCCAATGATGTTCTTCTTCTAGCATGGCTCTCCCAAAGGCTCACAACTCCCTCAAAGACCACCACCAACTGGATACCAAGTATTCAATTAGGGAGCCTATGAGGGCATTTCTCATTTAAACCACCACAGCTGGTATATTAAGGATACCAAAGACCATGCAGAAATCACTGATCAACAAATGATTTTCACTACAACTGTTTTAATGACAGCAGGATAGATTGAGAAAACACATCAACTTGACGGAACCATAAAACAGTATAAATAACCAAACCAGGCTTCCAAAATGTTTTGCATGAAAGATGATGCACTTCATGGATGGTAATAAATCTGGGAAATACCTTTATACTTGATATTTACTGAATACCCTCAATATACTATTCCCAGATCAAATGCATGCTGTCTTTTGACATCCAAATCATTAAGTTCAAAACTAATGTTAAAGTAATTGAAATCTATCAGCTTTCTAAGGATGCTTTAATGAAATACCAAAAGTTGAGTATCCTGAAGGACAGATTATTGCCTCAAAGCACTAGAAACTGAGGATCCTGGTGCTGGAAAAATCACATGCCTTTGGAAGGTGCTAGGCAGAGATCTGTCTGGTCCTTGTCTGTCTGTCTCCCAGCTTCTGGTGTTTGCTGTCACTTGGTACTGTTCTTTGGTTTTTCACTGGCAGGTCATCAT